ACATCGTTATCGGATACAGTGACCAAAATAACTTTGTAAATATAATATCTTTTAATAGCAGAATTGTATCATAAAATTTCGTCTAGACTATGTTACATTTACAAAGTTGAGGTGCTGCTAAACGATTTAATCTATCAGAGTGCATGTTGTGACACAAAACTGCAAGATAGGTGTGGCAATGTCGTGCGAAATCGATTCTGTGCAACTGAGTGGTGAAAACAGATATGTTAGTAAAAATCACTGTTATGTATTAGAGAACAAGTCGAGGACATTTATTTCTGGCTAGCTTTCGCCCGAGACTCCGTCCGCGTGGAATTAAACAAAAAAAGAAACCCATGTGTTCTTCCAGATTATTTTCTACATCTAGGCCAAATTTCATAGAGATCCGTTTAGCCGTTTAGGCTACGAAAACTAACAAACATCCATCCATCCTAAAGTTTCGCATTTATAATATTAGCAAGAAGTAATATTTTCGTACATCATTGGACAAATTTAAATGTTAACAGAGCGTAGAACAACGATCTCTTGTGAGACTTCCTAACCAAAATGTATAATGAGATGTGACGTCATTATACACGATCAGACAGGGGAGCTGAGGCCGAGAGCCGCATCATACTGCGCTAATTACGATAACACATGACTCAACTGACGCGTGGGACTGCCCTGACGAGTTTCTATGACAACCAGTTTGAAGAAAATACAGCCAATACATTAATAATCAGTTTATTACTTAGATGCACTATGAAGCCCGCTACAACTACGCTAGAAATTAGCGTATATAACTGGCTTTATCGTTTTTTTGCACAAACTGACTGCAGAATAATGGTTACTTTAACATCCCCTCAGTGTAGGATCCTCGATAGTTTTAAACAGGAATAGTCTCTTTGTGAGATTGTTAATTTTCTGGCACCTTATTGAATGTCCTTCAGAAACGGTATTACAGCACTGCAAACCGCAGTAATGACGTCATAACCAATTAAATAAAAAACTATACAATCGACACGATAATCGACTCTTATCACAATTAAATGCCTAATCATGTAATGCCGTGTGAATTGATTATATCGTTGAATGAAACACTTTATCTTTTTAAATTATTTTCTTACATAACAAGTGATCCTAAATCCAAGCAGGAAACTAAGAAAACAAGACCAAAACTAGAAGTAAAAACTCTATCTTCCACTTTTATTGCAGTTTGTATACATATACATGTATACATTAAAATATGGAATCTTTATCAAAACTGCTATCAACCTCCGTATTATATATATATTTATTAGATTTTGTCCTCCAAATAACTCTATCATACGTCATATCAGTCACTCTCTTGATCATGTTACTTTTCACGCAATCCATCCATCTCTTTCTACGTCTACCTCTACCGGTGTACCACACACATAACTAACGTTCTCCTTGTAACATGCGATTCATCCCTCCCCCTTCCCCTTTATCAATACTGTGTAGTTATAAATTTAACTGTGACATTGAATAATTGAATAAATAATGATAACTGTAAATGAGTCGATATCGGAGACCGGAAACGATTATCTATAACAGCCGTTACACTCGCTACTGGAACCTCTGATGGGTATTCAAAATATTATTTTAAATTGATTGTTAGAGCTCTTAGAATTTTTACGAATCAGTGACTGATCTGCTAAGTCGACTGGTCCATCTGGAATATCACTAATCTCACTAATATTATAAATACGAAAGTTTAGATGAATGGATGTTTGTTAAAGTTTGTTGTATACTGCTGAATGAATCTTGATGAAATTTGGCACAAGTATAGATCGAAGTCTGGAACAAAACATAGGCTATTTTTTTTGATTCCACGAAGACGTAGTCGATGGCTACAGCTAGTGTATCTATAAATGTAATAAAATCGAGTGGTTTCTCTCTATATATAACATAAAAAAATCATATATCGTTAACATGGTATATTTGCGTTGCTGATAACGAAAAAAACATTTTTTTATCTGTCCGTAAACCACGTTTTATCCGGGTAATCACCGAAACGGGTGGCCAGATATAACGGGATTTTCGGGAGCCGATGTATGCAGAAATATTTTAGGCTATTATTTTTTATTGTGCGCTGACAAAGTCAAGATAAAATATCTATAATTTAAACGGTTAACGCCACATTATCACAACGCCATATTGTCCACACAAAAAAAATATAATAAATATTTGTAATCAAACAACTCGATATATGACGATATATTTTATTGCCAACGTATTGTGGTAGATTGTAACATAACTTCAGCGGTTAAGTAAAACCACACAGTACGTTTAAATTACAAGTTTTCAATGAATACGCCGCCATATACATTATTGAAGTTGCATTCAAATGACAATTCGAGAAAAAAAAAATATTTTCAGAGACTATTTTTATGGTGCAGTACTAACAAATTATAGTCTGGTTTTATTTTCGTCCTTCTCAATGATTTCAAAATTATTATCTCATTTTCCTGTTACTTTAAATTATCGAACTAATTGAACATACCATGTCAACATATAAGTGCAATATACCCTTGACATTTATTACTAAATTGGATTAAAGCAAAACCGTTAGAAGTAAGTAGTGTAGTTAAAACTTATTTGCATTAGTTCTCAGATACGAAATATATTAAATTTTTTGTCCTCTTTAAATTTTATAGCTGTTGGTAGAGAAAGGCGGAGAACTGCAACTAAGGAATGCTTTAGGAAAGGCCAGTAGGAGGCATATAAAAATTCAAATTAAATTAGAAACCTATAAATGGTCACTAAGGATGTTCCTTAGTAATAAATGAAAAAAAATACAGATAAAATTACGAGTATTTTAAGAGGTTATTAACCTTTAGGGAATGTTTAAAACTAATTTAGTTATGGACCAAGTTAACATAGTTCTAACCTCACAATGTATAACTGGTAACTTGATTTAACTATCTATGCCGTTACCAAGTCGATATTTACTCGCCTACGCCGAATACCAGTCAAATTAACCAGAGGTGTATAATGATGTCATCTCAAAGTTTTTGAGGCAATTTAAACTTTATTAATATTGCATAGAGTTCAATCACTCTTTAGCGTTTTGTAATATTTCTTTAATATAAAACACGGTTGTTTACGTTTGTTATATGTCTGTTCCATATTGTTATGATTTCTAGCAAATTATAACAAATCTTTTCTAGTACTAGGGTTGTCAACTTTTCATAAATGCAGAACTAATCACAGGATGTAGTCATATACAATCTCGATTTAGAGGTACCGAATACTAAGATAAATAAAAATGAGTCATAAACATTCAATGACAAAATATTTTAATTATGTGTCATAAGCAAAGACATTTAAATAATGTATAGATGAGGTATAGTTGAAAAAATATCACTGGTACTTTCTCTGAAAGGTACTATATAAGTTGTCATGTTAAGAGCCACCTCGTATCCTTGTGTTGACACATAATAAAGTTAACTAAATAGTGTTACAAAATAAAAAGATAAACACTGAAATATTACCTAACTATTGGAAATTAATTCGAACACAATTAATTATATTTAAATGTGGTTTAAAGGATCTATCAATAGATAGTGTTAGTGATGATTATGTAAAAACTGTTTCATGTGAAGTGTCAACTATGTCTGATCTATATATTTGAATCTCTTTGGTCATTACTGATGAGATGAGTTTCAAAGGTGAACTTTGACCACAGCTGTAATGAGGTTAAAGTAATTAAGCTAGCCATATGCAGAATTATTCATACATTTCCTGCTATTAACATTTGTAATAATATATCAAAAGTTAACATAAAAATAACAGAATATAAAAAAAAAGTTACACAAAACATCTCACAATATCAGTTTATTATAGACTATATAAGACTAGCTGTTGCCAGCTAGTCATCCTGCACAGAATTAAAAAAAAAAAAACAAAATAAGTAACCTGCTTTCTTTATGTTACAGTTATGCAACATTTTAGGAAGATCCATTGAGTCAATATACAAATGTATATAAACATCCATCCATCCATCTAAACTTTTTCATTTATAATATTAAGTAAAAAGTAATATTGAAAATAAACATATATCGGTCCAAACTCATGTAACATCAATGTTTACTAGGCAATCGTAATAAAATATTACGATATTCAATATCTTAGTATATATGTATACTATGAAGTAAAGTTATTTACTGACAAATGACTCGAATTTAATAAAAAAATTACCTTACATATGTAAAAGTTTGCAAGATTCAGTCCATTAAAATGTGTAATAAATGGCATGCAGACTGCATTGAAAACTCGCAATTGAATTCAACTTATTAAGGTCAAAGTACTTGATGGTAATGAGGTAAATGTAAAAATCGTTTTATTGAGCATACAAACAGAACACTCAATTTAACATTAAATATAAAATTCAATGCAGTGTTTTTTATCCTTATTTTGCTTACGTTTTATACATATTTTACTACCAACTAGCTTTGCCCGCGACTTCGTCCACGCAATATTAATATAAAAAAGTAGCTTATAATATGTCCGTCTATGTCAGCTACCATTCAGTGAAAGTCCAGTCGAAATCTGCCCAGCCGTTTCAGAGATTAGGCGGAACAAACGCGGCTTGCGGACAGACATACAGACAAAAAATTTTGAAATGCGAGTTATCAGCAACGCAAATACATAATCTTCACGAAATCTACAATTTTACTTTTGATAAATGTATAGATAGATTTAACAAAGATATTCCTCATAAAGGTAATAAAATTAAACATGTAAATATTAAAATTATGGGTTACGATTATTTACATAGGGGCCTTCATATACTGAATTATTTAAACATAAATAACTTGAACGAGATGACATCATAGCGTCAGTTATGGCTAAGTAGATAAGCCTTGCAGCACTATGCTAATGGACTTTACTGAATAATAAATAGGATTGCTTATAAAGTAAACAATGGTCATGTAATTTGAATTATGTAAAACATAAGATTTTACTAATGAAAGTACACAGCATACATATAGCAAATATTATCTACACTAGCTTTCGTCCGTGACTCCGTCCGAAAATTAAAAAAACAAATGCAAGTAGTCTATGTATTCTTACAGACTATCCTCTACATCTATACCATATTTAATTGAAATCCATTCCACCGTTACAAACATTCATCTAAACTGTCACATTAATATTAGTATGATTTAAGTATGGTAACTAAATTTACTGTTTTAAAACTGTTACCATAGATATGATTCCAGTATGTAGGATTTGCAAAGTATGTGTTCTTCTATACATCTCTATCAGCAGTCATATCAAACTCACTCCCATAATCATATTCTCTTTTACACAATCCATACATACATTTTCAGCCATTCACTTTAAGGATTAATACAATTCATTATGTTGTAAAATACATGAACATACGATATAAATAAATAAATAGATAAATAAAATCCTTTATTATTTCACTTTAAAAAATGTATACATTTCATAAGACCCTTGGCTCCTGCACTAGGTTCCCTTGTCCTGCAGGATATACAACCAAAATGTAAATTTGTGTTTCTTCTAACTTTACTTTCTTTATGCCTAATTTACTATATACAAAGTTAAAAACAAAAGGTGTAAATTACAAAATTGTAGCTTAAAATAGCCACAAAATAGCTATCAATATTTGTGTTAGACAATTCAAGAAGGTTTTATTCCAAAACATTATATAGTACAAAATGAAAGATTCATTGACTTAGTAATCTAGATTCCATACTTAGATTGACTTGAATGTTTCTAGGTCAATGTATGTATCACCTTATCTTATATGTTTGTTTATACAGACATAAATTACTTGCATTGTATATCTTATGATAAATTATGTCATGTTTAAATGTTGGTTAAAGGGGCCCTTAATCAATAGTTACTAAAATGTTCTTTAATAATTAATAAATCTTCATACAGAAACTTTATCAGTTTACCATTACTCAGTACAGTAACAAATAGGAGTAAGCAGAGAGCCTCAAAATTAAAAAATGTTATAGAACAGTTTCAATATTGAAATATTTCATTTTTTCCCCAAGAATTCTTATCTACAATGTAATCAATACATTATACGATGCAATCTATGAGTAGTAAATAGCTATAAGTGTATAAAATTAAACATGAGAGGATCTTTTAAAATGTATATTTGAAGATAAGAATAAACATCCAGACAGAATGCGTATGAAAAATAAACAGTACTTGCAACGACTTGAGCGTAGTACTCGAACTAAAAATAGCTTCCACCAATCAAAGGAAACCCTAGCCAGATGCACTTGAAAAATTACATCATTGACAACCAAGTTCAAAGAACTGACCATGATATCATGATTTCCTGCCTTACACGTTACCGCTACATTAATTAAGGCTGACCAAGCTGCGCCCTCCTTGACTTTAAACCTAGGACATCAAAGATACTTACAGTGCGAAATTCACAGTCGTAGCATCAGAGATGAACGATTTTTATCACGATATCTTCAAGCTTTAAACCACAGTCAATTAGCACAAGTATATTTTTAACACAATTCTAAAAGCACCACTGTATACCATTTAATTTACGTTCTTATATTTTTTACGTGAATTTTGTTAAACACAAAACCTCAGTCACTCAGTCCATTTTTGACGTTTTAAATCAAACTGTGTTGCAATGTTAACTAAATGAAATTACCAATTTCGTGAAATGTGTTTCAACCTTTCGACCACAAAATGGTAAAAGGTAGATTTACATGATTTCTAATACTTCGTCTTTTCTGCTCTTAGAATAGAGTTACTGCAAAATGCAATAAAAACTGGTCGTAAAATAATGGTAAAAACAAGTTTTTACTAATTCCAGCTAAGTATGACATTTGATAATTTAGTGTAAAACGGAACATTTGCAGCACAAGATTGAAAATGGCCTTTGTATTTTTGCAGCCCGAAACCTGTCAAATATTCAAAATATGAAGTGACTTATATTAATTCTTTAGTCGATTGTGTAACTATATTTCAATTTAAACATTTTCATATACATACGCTTATAATAAATAGTTTTAAAACTATTTATGTGATTTCTATTTGTGAACGCCGGTGGAGGTTATGAAATAAAAATATTTTATAAAACCTATTGGTTATTATGTTTTAAGATATAACTGCTCCACAAAGTATTTACAGCTGCAAAAAGTGTTACACTCAAAATGTCGAGAATACTACATAACCGTTTGAGGTAAGTGTTCATCTCATTTAAAATCTTACAAACCTTCACATCGCAATCTTTACTCACCTTAAGAATATTGACCATAAAGTCGTTATGCTATCAAATAACTTATTTCTTCATGGAAGTAATCTAATGCCTTTCAATACAGATTTGAAATCCGAGGCTACATTGATATGTAACCACCGTAAACATGGTTTGATTTAACTCTTACTGAAATTAATACTAAACTAAGTAATACTCTTAGTAGCCATTATTAGAATAGCCGATCAGATATGAAGGTATCTGTCCATTGAATGTAAATGTGTGATATGACCCTTCTCTTATAAAAAATATGTAATATAATTATTAATAATTAATATTTTCTCTTGGTTACAGATCATCCCTCAAGAAACCAACAGCATGGTCATGTTTCGACAAACGAGCTGTTGCTTTCTCAATATGGACTGGAAAGAGCATGTTGTTGTACAAACCTATTGATCCAATTAATATACCAAGGAGAAAGTATGGTATGCTGATAGCTAGAGCAGTCAGAGGAGTGTTGAAGATCAGATATCTTGTATTGGGAGGTGCAGTGGGGGGAGGGATGACATTAAATAAGGTAAAATAAGAAGATTTTTGATTGAAACATTGTTTAAAATTGTTGAAAATAAATAATTAACACTATATACAGAAGTAGCATAAGGTAGATCAGCTATGTTTATAAAATAACATTAACTATTTCTGTATAAGTGCACAAGAATGGGAAAGAACATTATCAACCACAGATTATATCTTACTTCTTACTAATATTATAAATGTGAAAGTTTAGATGGATGGATGGATGGAAGTTTGTTATAGTTTGCAGCCTAAACAGCAGAACGGATTTTGATGAAATTTAGCATATATGTAGTGAAAAGTCTGGAAGAACACATAGGCTATTGTTTTTTTTAAATCTTGCACTTTTGTTTTTTTCAATCTAACGCGGACGGAGTCGCAAGTAAAAGCTATCAAACTATATTGTTCACATATAACACAATAAGTGAAATTAAGTTAATTTGCATACATAAATCAACATAACTGTCTTTTATGGGAATGAAACAGATGTTTTGACTACATTTTTTTACTTTCAGAAATATTCAGAATGGAAAGATGGTCTCCCCGATATGGGCTGGCTGAATGACCTCCTTCCTGATAATGAGCAATGGAATCGGTTTACAACAACTTTACTTGATGCTAAGGATCGGATTAGTGACCAATTACAGATAGGTAAGGTATTATAAAGATACATAAATTATTTCTTAGCTGTATAAACTGTCTATTGTTTATTATGTATTGTAGTTAAGTGTAGATACATATTTTGGTGTATAATTTACTTGTTTTAGACTGCACATTTTCTTTATGTTTAGTTCTATTATTTCTCTATTTTATTGGGTTCTTATAATTTTTAAGTGTTAGTAAAATATTATGTTAAGTAAAGGTTCAGCATTTTTGAATATAAGGATTCAAACTCAGTGTTGTATTGCTGGAAGCTCAGTAGTATAAGCGGTTTGTTTGCTAGCGGTTCGCTTTTTAATCTGTTTTCTGAAATTCAATTATTTCATAAGTTTATCAAATGTAAAGTGGAATGGAATGTACTAGTTTATGTCAATTTAAAAGACAAATCTAGCACTTTTATACAAATGTAGCTAAAAGTTATATATAATTTTTAAGTTACAAAAATCTTATTTGTACAAGTTAATAAGAAAATTAGAAACTTGGTGTACAATGCAACTAAATAAAATAACATAAAAACACTATGAACAAAATTATTACAAATGGATTTTTTAATTGTTCACACTTTTTGTCTAAAGATTGCAAGGTTAATTAAAAATAAATAATAAAGGAAGAAAAGTAGGTTGTTGTGTTGTAAATAAGACCTTTTAAGAGTAGTTTGTTAGAGAGAGATAAGGATTTGCTTGTTAACAATTTAGTAAATACAGAATCTAGATAATTTCTTCTGGCATTCGGAATAGGTTAGCATCGGATTTTAATGTCCAGTCTGGCAACTGTTTTGCTCAGTTTTATGTATAAGTGTGATAGTGGTAGTTTCTCGGTGTAAGGGTGTGTGCGCGTTAGGTCGCGAGTTGACGCTGAGCCTGGCCGCAGATCCCCGGCTGCGCGACGCGGGTGTGGAGCGCGCGGCCGAGCTGCGGGCCTGGCTGGCGCAGCGCTACGAGGACGCGGTCGCCGCAGCCGCTGCCAACACCGGTCAGTCTATACCAGGGAACATTCTGTCGTTACAAACGACGTAGGGCTTTAAGAGTAGATTATAAAATGTACAGTCGCGGAAATCTGCAGTGTTCCACTTTGGAATTGTCTTGTTTATTGCAACGTGACTAACTTATTAAATAGCAGTGCAAAATAAAAAGACACTTTTCTTCGTACTGTTAAGAAGAAAATTACTACTGCGCTGTGGGATTAGCGTAACATTAGATTATCGGCATAGACGTCACGTCTCTATCTGACAGCTGTCAAAATGTCAGCATATTACAATAGCGCGCGAAATCTCTAGCTGAGTTTTTAAATTAATATCGCTAGTTACAATTATATCAATAATTTAAGTACAGACACATTTGTATTGATTTTTGTTTCGCGTGTCGTTTAAAAATGTTCAAACGATTGTAGCTTTTAAGGAACACTCCCAGTTTCCCCGTTTGTACCAAATTTCAACCACATCACTTAACATAAGGTGGGTTGTGGTCAAGTGCTAGCGTAACGAACATAAAGAAAACAGATAGAAAGCTATGTATAAGTTTATATTGATGGAAAGATCGTCACGTTTAAAAAAATCTCATCTTTTCTGCTAAATTTCTTGCACACCATTATTTGATATTAAATCTATTTTGTTTTGTTTTTTCTCATATAGCAAAAGTATGCATGAGTATATGTTAGTTGCATGTTTATTGTGTTATCATTTGTTTTGTTTTTTTTTTCATTTTCATTAAATTAGTGTTTCCTAGTTTAGATAAACTAACAGTAATCTCATGTCCTAGAAATATTTGATTTATGGTAAAGCAAATAGTATTATTTTTTTATCCTTTTCATTGAACATTTAGATTGTTGAATAAAAATACATTCATGAGTTAAAGAAAATTAAAACAATCATACTAATATTATAAATACGAAAGTTTAGATGGATGTTTGTGAGAGTTTGTAACCTAAACGGCTGAACGGATTTCGATGAAATTTGGTATAAACGTAGAGGATAGTCTGGAATAACACATAGAGTACTCAGTTTTGTTTTTTTAATACCACGCGGACGGTGGCGCTGGCGAAAGGCTATTAAGATATAACTCTGATTTTTTCATGATGAAACTGTTAATATTTTTTTTTTTCAATGAACAGTATTATTCTTACTTGTTTATGTTAAGGCAAACTTAATATTGTCGTAGAACCCGCTCCACAACAGATACAGAACAACTTGCAGAGTAGACCTGCGCCGAGCTCCGCTGGCGGGAGGGGGTCGGCAGAGGAGGCGGCTGCTTATGGTAACTACTTTTTATAACTATGTCAGATGTCAAGTATTAGAGTCAATATGTGGAAAATATACATATATTATACTTACTACAGAACGCAAAGCGATCTCGGTGTTTGTCTGCTTTTATCTAAGAATATAGTTTTATTTCAACTATAGATTTACAGTTGGAGCTGCGAGCAACAAGTTTTCTATACTAATATTATAAAAAGGAAAGAATTTATTTATAGATTTTTGTAAATACTGAAATAACTCGAAAACTACTGGACTGATTATAAAAATTCTTTCACCATTAAAAAGCTATGTTATCAATAAGTTAATGGCTATATTTTTAATCTAACGTTGAGTATGTCGCGAAGTTGGTCTTCATATATTTTCCACGTCATGTAGAGAAGCGAGTACACGCGCTGCAGGAGGAGGTGCTGGCGCTGCAAGCACGCTACCAGCGCGAGCTGCAGCGCCTGGAGCAGGAGAACAGGGAGCTGCGCCAGCAGAACATGCTGCTGCGGCAGGGCAGGCAGCCCCCTGCTAGGAAACTGAAGGTAGGGAGCAGGGAATCAGGAACCTCGATCTGTTTATGCATGATATTATGAAAACTTTTTTGTTTACATTTGTATTTTTAATTGCAAATGACAAAAGTCTGCCTGACAAAAGTTGCTGGTAACAGTAATTGTTACCAAATGGTCTTTGACATTTGGTAACAATTACTGTTACCAGCAATCTTGCTTTTTTGATGTTGGCAGCTTGTAGTTTATGGTCCCTTTTGCACATGACGGTATTTTCCAAATTTACTCCCTAAGTTTAATGGCGTGAAAATATAGCCTAAAGCCTGTTTTTTTTTATTAAAAAACTTTGATTGCTGACATCATTATATATGGACATATAGATGGATATAAAGGAGAGAAGAAAACGCTTCGTGTCATTTTCTGGTTATATTTCTTATAGCTACAAGAATACTAAATAAAGAAGTGAATTAAATAGTGTCTGGTAATTCCAGCGGTCGTTAATCGATATGTACTCCGCGGTGCTGGATGAGCTGTCAGGCTGGGAGTCAGGCGAGGCCGGCAGACTGCCGCGAGTGGTGGTGGTGGGAGACCAGTCTGCGGGAAAGACCTCCGTGCTGGAGATGATCGCTCAGGCTAGGATATTCCCGAGGGGAGCTGGCGAAATGTGCACTAGGTACACTTGATTGAGTCTAATTTTGGATTCTGCACTTGACAATGTATAAGAAGCCTTACTTTTGTATTAGGGCTCCAGTGAAAGTGACCCTGTCTGAGGGTCCGTACCACGTGGCGCAGTTCCGCGACTCCTCGAGGGAGTTTGATCTCAACAAAGAATCTGATCTGGCTGATCTACGCAAGTTAGTCTCACTTCATGTTACTTATTAGTTGAGTGCTAGACCATTAATAAACGCTATTATATAAAATATTTGTATTTTTGTATGTATCGTATGTAAATAACTCAAAAACTACTAAGCCGATTTCAAATTCTTTCACCATTATAAACTACATAATCAGTGAGTAACATAGGGTATATTATTTTAATTTCACACAGGTGAAGTCGCGAGAAACAACTAGTACTTTTACATAGAGTAAATAAAACAATTTTCAGATTGATTTCATTGTTTGTGTCATTTACTCTATAGATCGACTCTATTCTTTCATACATCTCTGTTGTCGTATCTAAATTCACTGCTTTTTGTCCAAAATCCATCTATTTTTATAGCTATGGATATTCCATGTTCAAGATATGTATGTTATTTTCTGTGTCAGGGAGGTGGAGCTGCGCATGCGCAACAGCGTGCGCGGCGGCCGCACAGTCTCCACTGACGTGATCGCCATGTCGGTGCGCGGGCCCGGCCTGCCGCGCATGGTGCTCGTCGACCTGCCCGGCGTCATCTCCGTCAGTATGCTACACCGCACCACATCACATCACATCACACCACATCACAAAACAACACATCACATCACCTCACAACACAGCAAAGCACAACATAACACTTTACGCACCACATGACATCACACCACACACCATCACAACATATCACTTCACAACACATAACATCACATCACACTACACCACACCACATGTCAGATTTCCAAATGCAAATGTCAAAATTTAATTGCCCAAGTGAAGGTTTATTAGAATAGCTGTTCCCGTGCAAAAGCTAGTATAAAAAGTTTATTTAATAGTAGTACATTTGTCAATCTTTATTGCAAATGTCAAAATTACAGTTACCATAATATTCCTGTTTCCTTAATGTTGTCAACTTGTAGTTTATGGTACCTTTCCCACATAAAGGTTTTCCCCCCCCTAAGTTTAATAGCACGAAAAGAATAACCTAAAGCATATCGTACCTCTAGGGCTTTTAATTGTAAGAATAATTCAAAAATATACTGAAATCGTTGATATCCTAACGCTAGGAAGTAGTGTATAGATGAGTTTATTTGTATATTGTTATTTTTCAGACGCAAACGGTGGATATGGCATCAGACACGCGCGATGCCATCAAGCAGATGACACGCACTTACATGGACAACCCCAACGCCATCATACTCTGCATACAGGTATATATGTACTGTGTACAGTCGCGGAAACACGCGGTGGTACAGTATCCATCTAAACAAACTTTTAACAAATGACCAAATAGCAGTGAGTTGCGTAAACGGAATAACAAAAAGCAATAATAATAACAAAAGCGCCAATAGCCTAATGGTTATTGTATGGATGCCGATCACGTGGTCGAGGATTCGAATACATTCGGTTATTGAAAACCATATCCTAGCACAAGCCTAAAGATTAGTTAGAATGGTATAAGATATGATATTAAAGATATAAAGAAGATAAAAAGATATTGTACTATTTTTATCGTATAAATACATTGAAAAGCGTTCCAACTACTAGTTTTAAAGTGGAACACCGACAGTTTCCCTGATTGTACTTTTATACCATATTAATATGACATCTGCAAAAATAGATGGGTTTGTTCACCTTAAGTCTACTGAAAAAACGCACAGAAAGAGGATATTCCCTCTTTCTCTGAGTCCACGTGTTAAGCTTTTTCCCCTTTTCACATTTTTCCTACAAAAAGGGGGGGGGACCTAAATAATTCCTGGATGTAATATGGATGTATCGCAGGACGGGTCTGTGGACGCGGAGCGCAGCAACGTGACGGACCTGGTGTCCTCCTGCGACCCTCAGGGCAAGAGGACCATCTTCGTGCTCACCAAGGTGGACCTCGCGGAGGAGAACCTCGCCAACCCCAACAGGGTAAACACTTGGGAATACTTTCAAAACACTATTCAAAATATCTTTAAAAACACATGTTTTATATGTATACTAGCTTTCGCCCGCCGCTTCGTCCGCGTGGAATTAAAAAAAAAACAAAAGTAAGTAGCCTATTGGTTCTTCCAGGCTATCCTCTACGTCTGTGCCAAATTTTATCGAAATCTGTTCAGCCATTAAGGCTACGAACTCTAACAAACATCTATCTAAACTTTCGCATTTATAATATAAGTAAAATTGCTGACATCCTACGTAACTATATTTTAATATGAGATAATACCTAAACAATGTAAGGGAGAAAGCATTTCGAAGTGATGAGGCTATACCTGCTAAGTTGCCACGGCAAGCTGCGCATGTAGAGTAGTGGTAAGCAGAGTGGTGGCGCAGATCCGGCGCATCCTGGAGGGCAAGCTGTTCCCGATGCGCGCGCTGGGCTACTACGCGGTGGTGACGGGCCGCAGCCGCAAGGACGACTCCATACAGAGCATACGAGACTACGAGGAGAGGTTCTTCAGATCATCCAAATTGTTCAAGTTAGTGTCACTACGAATATTAGAAACTGTAAAACGTGGCGGGACTCCATCCGCGTGGTATTTTTAAAAACTAGCTGTTCCCGTGCGGTTTCATCCGCATGAAATTATGAACATTTTACTTCATTGTTTACATTTTGTCAAAATGGCATGACGATAACAAATCTTAGCAATCTTGCTTCCTTGATGAAATGTATTAATATTATATATTATTTATTAATACATCTGTAATTAATTTTAATAAGTCCCCTACCCTGTTACAGGGACGGGTTGGTGACACCCTCGCAAGTGACGACACGCAACCTGTCGCTGGCGGTGGCGGAGTGCTTCTGGCGCATGGTGCGCGCCACCGTGGAGCAGCAGGCAGACGCCTTCAAAGCCATGCGCTTCAACCTCGAGACTGAGTGGAAGAACACATTCCCCAGGTCAGGACTACCACCTTTTTAATTCCGGGATAAAATACAAATCAATAATACTAGTAGTACTTAAAATGTACTTATTTATGTCTAAAACGTGTGTGTTCTTGCTTGTTAATTTGCATGTTTAAACGTAATCGATTTATGTTTTTAATTTGAAAATGTAATTAGACAACTTGAGGAGAATAGG